TGGGGAGAGGGGGCACGCACGGACGCCGGGCGTGAGGGGCACTGGTTGCTCGCACCGTTTCATCCCTTCTCGAATAACAATCCTTCCCCCCTTCGCCGCGACCCTCGCGAAATGAATTAAGCCTCGGCGAATCGATAAATGAACGTTTCGAGCGCGCGTGGAAAGGGAGGGGGAGAGCGGTTCGGGAAGCGCGACACGTTCCGAAAAATCTACATCAGACGTAAACGGATTGTTTGATCCATCCGATATATGACGCCAGCCCGCCCCCGCGGCCCCCCGATAAATCGCTGGCGCGCGTTACCGTGCACGTTATCGTATGCCGCGTTGCATCCGGCGGAATTAGAATACACCGCGGGGTGATATATTAGGGCGATTTTGCGCGACGTACGGCCCGTAATAGAGCGATTAGAAGAAGCCGCGGGCGCGACGTCCCCGAAATTCGCGCCGTGCGTGCGATTCAGAGTTGCCGCATCCTAAATCGCATCTCATCAATCGTACCCGATTTTTTTTTCGTTCAGATGTACGTAGCACGCACTGAATGAGGTATAATTCGAAATTTCTGTTTATATTTCTCGTTACATCTCCCATTTTTGCCGTTAGATGCCGTTCCTATTCGATAATAATAAAGAAATTAATGAAATATGGTTTGGAGCGGTACGATTTCGGCAATTGTTCCCTGCATCTCATGCATACAAAGGTGACTATTATTTCTTATCAATATAAAAAAAAAAAAGATGCGAGTGCGGCTATTCTTGATATGTTCTTTTCTTGGTATATTTTTTCATGTAACTAATTGGAAAACTTGTCTTTCTTTCCAGATCTGACGAAGCTTGTGGTTACACGCTGAGTGCGATTTTCGTCGAGGACAGTTTTGATAAACGCGAATGCCGAACCAGAGATTGCGGTTCAAACCAATCGGCTCGAGGGTTGGTTTATAAAATATTCTTGCATTTCACCATTTGCGATCAAAAACTGGTCGTCCAAAAACAAATCGTTGAATTACAATTATCGCAAAGAGCCAACACACACTCGTGTAAACGTGCTATTCCTTGCTGCGCTATTAATCCCTTGATTGTCAATGAGGGAAATATCCGCAAAAATAAAACTGGTCAAAAAATGCTTATGGCGGAAATATCTGCACATTCAAATAAAGATATTTACCCCGGAGCAATTAGAACTAGATACTACATTATGTTTTTGGTGTCATTGAATTCAAATCTCAGGTCAAAACTGCGAAATTAGAAGTGACAAATTCAGCATGGCAAATCGAAAATTTAAAAAATCGTCTATTTTGTATAAAAATTAGAATTAAAAAATTTTCGAAACCGCTAATTTCACGTACAAAATAAAAAGTCATAATCTCAAAATGACAAATTCAATGTGATGGGTAAAAAATTTAAAATATGGTTCAATTTACATAAAAATTAATTTTGTAAAGTTTTGAATATTTAAAATTTTTCACTTCCATATTGGATTCGCCATTTATTTAATAAAACATTTTAATTTTGTATTCAGAAACAGCGGCTTCATGAAACTCTCAATGCATACTTTTATATGAATCGAATAATTTTTTGTATCATGGACCCGCCATTTTGAATTTTGAAATTCGGATTTAACGACTCAGAAAACCTCTATAAAGTAATATTTTTGTAATTTTATTAACTCTTTTATCAAAAGTACTTTTGACGCACAAGCATTTTTTTACCCAATAGCTAAGCAGTTAAGCTCATATCTTTAATCAACGACGCTATATTTTATGCTTCAGATCTGTAGCGGAGCGTGGCCGATTTTGAGTTCCAGGTATTTCGGTGAGTCGAAAGAAAAAAAGGGGATTTACGGTGGTGGGTTTATCGGCTTTTATAAAAAATCAACGCGAGAGAGCTTTCGCGCGACCTTCGATAGCCGAGCCGAAGGGGATGCCGCGCGGCCGTCCGGCGATACCGTGGAGGGTTGTCAACGGAGAGCGGCGTCAGCTTGTGTAACTATCGGTAATTAATCAGAATCATCCCCGCATATCGTGTCCGTCGGACGAGTGGCGAAGGCGAAGGCTGGGTGTTTCGCGCGAGCGCGTGTGTGTGGGCGCGTAGGTGCGTGCGTGTGGTGGTGTCGGCCGCGAGAGGGTAGTTAACCGGTGACGTCACGCCCATGGCGACATCTGGCCCGGCACTAACCGCGCCGCGCTGTCCGTCCGGCGCGGCGGCGGCGAACGCTGGACACCGAACACTGTCCCGGCGCACTATAACTCCGGATCCGGATCAAAATTACCCTGCGCGTCCGCGGTGAGGCCGCACGCCGCGCCGGCTGGCTCCAATTAATTTCGCATTCGGCACGTTCTGCGATTCCGCCGTCGTTTCGGCCTTCCTACCGGTCGCGGACCGGTCGCGATCGCGCCGGATGAGGGTAACTTCGGGGATGGCGCAGGAGCTTTGCATGGGAATCCTAATCCAACGGTCTTACCGTTTCCGAAATGATTTCGCCGCCGTTGATTCAGGCTAATTTGTCCCTATAATGGCATAGTAAAAAGATTATAGTTAGGAATATAATTTTTATAGTAAATGTTACTATAATATTTGTAATATTTACAATATAAGTATAGTATAACTGACCCGTGTAAAATTTTTACCAAGAATTATAATTATTTGAAATAAAAAATATGGTAAGGTGGCAAATATTGAATGGTAAGAGAAATTAACTATTTTATATAGTCAATACAATTGGAATATTTGGCAAATATAGGTACATGTAACTATATTCCCAAAAGGTGCTTTACCATATATATAGAGTAATAAGATGGTGACTATAAATCTGTGTTCATTCTACTATATCTTCATGTTTAGATGAACTATAAATATATGTTTGAGGCCAAAACGAACTATAAAATATAGTGAGATTATAGTTATTCCAACTATTTTTTTCTCTCAGTGCGGTACCTACGCACACTCCTACACTGAGGTTCTTCGCAATCGTTCAAGAAGTCAGGCACGCTCAATATTCTTCTCTTCAAGGATATTTATTGAAGAAGACACAACTAGCGCAAAATAGCGCCAACCAGTAGAAGATAAAAACTGTTTTTAATTAATTTTAGATACCCATAAGACTTGAATCTTTCTTGTGGAAAGACATATGGGCTACCCACTGCACTGAGAGAAAAAAATAGTTGGAATAACTATAATCTCACTTATTTTATAGTTCGTTTTGGCCTCAAACATTTATAGTTCATGTAAACATGAAGATATAGTAGAATGAACACAGATTTATAGTCATCATCTTATTACTCTATATATATGGTAAAGCACCTTTTGGGAATATAGTTACATGTACCTATATTTGCCAAATATTCCAATTGTATTGACTATATAAAATAGTTAATTTCTCTTACCATTCAATATTTGCCACCTTACCATATTTCTTATTTCAAATAATTATAATTCTTGGTAAAAATTTTACACGGGTCAGTTATACTATACTTATATTGTAAATATTACAAATATTATGGTAACATTTACTATAAAAATTACATTCCTAACTATAATATTTTTACTATGCCATTATAGTTCCAAATATCATACATTTTTCTCTCAGTGTGGTAACAAAAATTCAATAGTCATGATTTTGTGAGTTGGATCATTTTTGCATAATTATGGCCAATTGATACATCGACGAGTCCAAGATGAATAATTGCACAGGTCGTTCGGAAGAAAGAAAAAGATAGAGATAGGAAGAGAGAGAGAGAGAGAGAGAGAGAAATATCCAAAAATATTAATTTAAAGCTTTACGCGAGAGAACGCGAGTTGAACGCTGGCCGCCCTTTGAGCGGCTAACTGCACGACAAATTCGGGGACGTCCCTCCATTCTCGTGGCTATCAATTGCGGCTAATCCTTCCCCAGAGTCGCCGAGAAACTTTTGTCCAGACCACGTTCCCGCGCGCGATCGCGAGCCCGCGTTGTAAAATCACATCCGACACTCATCCGCGTGAGGGTCAAACGCGTCATCGTCATTTACGAGCCGTCGTTTGCGAGAATTCACGCGGCCGCTCGATGCGCATCGTAGCGCCGCGCGGTGTCCTCGGAAGGCCGGTTTTCCGGCTCGGACAATTAAAATTCGGGCGACTTGGTAGTTCGGTCATGTATATTAGATAGCCAATTCCGGCGGTAATCCAGCTATAAATATCTCTGAATTATATTTTCTACCCCGGACTCTCTCGGGAGGAGGGGCATCGCGCGCCACACGGACGATTTGTCCTAAAAGAGCGGCCGGAGAGAGCCGGAGGGCATGGGCGGCGGATGAAAACGGCGCCGCGGTGTCTGTTTACCCGTCAATCGCGCGATTAAATTGGATCGCCGGTATTATCTTTTAATCCCGGCGCGCCCCGGTAGAATGGTTTCGAAAAATCGGTACAAAATTTCGGCTCTCGCCCTCCCAGATATCCGCGACCGGAGACTGAAACAATTGGGAAATGCGACGGTACGTTATCCGCCGCGATAAATTCGAGATTCTCTCCCTTACATTTGTTGCCGGTCACTTTTCTTCGTTCTACTCCACAAATTGCTCCCAAGAAATCACAGATAAAAGACGACTCGCTGAGGACTAAGGTGTACGTATGCATTCCATGTAATTCTGAAAAATTTAAAAGCACAAAAATCTCCAGCCTCCTTTAGAGTGAGGTTAAACACTCAATTATTGATACCCGCGCCTTAGCCATTGACACCCTCAAAAGACTCTACAAAAAAAGATTTTTCTTGCGACCAGCATTGCTAAACTTGCCTGCACTCTAGACTAATAAAAAAAATATTTAAAAATTTATTTGCAAGATACAAAGTTTATTTCAATGAAATAAAGCTTATTTCCGTGAAGAAAATTTAAATAGACTTAAATAAAGTTCGTTTTTTTGCGAATAAACTTTATAGCTCACAAATACATTTTCAAATATTTTTTTTCTCAGTGCACATGTGAAGCCTGTTCTCTTTAGCTGAACTAGTGTTGCAATAGAACTTTGTTCCTTTTCCCTTCATCACTGGTTTATATATTTGTCTGATTCTAAAGACAAGTCAGTTCAGTTAAAAGGAACAGACTTATGAAGAGAATGTTATAGTATTTTTTTTATATAAATTCTTTTCAACTTTTATTGTGTTCCGAATACAGGAATAAACTGTCAATGAGGTTTACCTTGCTACAGAATACAGTAAATTTTGTTAGAAACATAGCACATCTTTTAATATCACATTTCACATAGTTTCTGATATATAAATACTGAGAGAAATTATCTGATAAAAAATTAACAAACGGATATTTCCGATCAAATTCCGATTAATTTTTATATCCGATCAGCATATTCGATTAAATTTAATTGGATACTTCCGATCATAATGGCATTTTATCAGATAAACCGATTAAAAAATTATGAACTGATATTTCTCATCGGACGTCCCCTAATCGGATACAAAAATTCATCGGTATTTTGATGGGAAATATCCATTTGTTAATTTTTTATCGAATGATTTCTCTCAATGTGGCATATGCAAGATAAACGCAAAATAAATGGAATAATAAATTACTGGAGAATGTCGAGCTGTTTCTTACATACAAAGTTCCATATAACTTTTACTATAAAATTCTCTTTGCACTGTTCTCTTCTTTAGTGTAAAGTAACTTTCTCTGTAAAATTCTGTGTACGGTTCTAAAACACGTCTTCGCTAAAATTGAAAACAGATACCAAGTTTTTCGAGATTGTTAATGACCAATTATTGGTATGCTAATGATTGAGTGTTTTACCCCCAGTATATTTTTCGAGACAACACTTCAATCCATACTCGCATTTCCTTAGAATACCGACGCGGCGTCCGTAAATGATCCCTTTTCTGGAGCGGATGCATCGTCTTGCGAAATGTCGCGAAACGAAATCGAGTTATGTCTTTTGACAGACGTTTCCTGCCGCGATATTCGGCAGTTTATCTTCTATCGTTATCATATAACGGGAAGCCGGCTCGCCCGTATCTCTCTCTCTCTCTCTCTCTCTCTCTCTCTCCTTCTCTCTTGCTCCCGCGAGCGGACGGTAACGGCTAATCCAATCCTATTTACATCGCGGAACTGTCGCGGCTGCATTGACGTGCGCGGAAATAAATCCCGACACGACTAACACGAACACGCTCGCCCGCTCACGCGCGCGCCCGCGCTCACCGCGTCGAGGGCGCGTGTAAATCCCGGGCTTTCTCTCGGAACAAATCGAATGTCGGTCGATGTAAATGAATTCCGCTCTAATTGCAATTATGCGACACGAATGCGCATAAACGTTCGCGTTATGCGATAAATGACACGTCACTCAGGCCGGGCGCGGCGTGTAGCCGCGTGCAGTTCGTTCGTTCATTCGCTCGCTCGCTCGCTCTCGCGTCATTGCGAATTTATGAAATGGCGATCGTTATATCCGTATCGGGCCCTCTCGAAACCGTTCGCGTCATAATTGCAATTAATCAATAATTGACGTCGTATAATTGGGTGGCCGTCGAGACGATGTGCCGTTAAACATTCACGGACGTCTAGTCGAAGGCGCCGATTGACGCCATCGGCCTGTCAATTTTGCACAAGACGCCGCTCGATCGCCGACCATTACGAGACGTTACGACGTCGGAGAGACTCGAGATTATTACATTACTTATACAATGACAAGCAGAAATAGGTAAACTCTGTCCGGTTTCTCCTCGCGATAACGGCGACAGATCTCTCGCGACGAGATCGCGACGAGATGCGGATCGATTCGGCCGGCGCGAGAATTCGCGAAAGACGTGTTCTTGGCGCGTCAACGGAGGATTC